CAGTTAAAGAGAATTATTAACAGGGTTTTAAATAGGTCTAACAGCAGTCTTTTCACATTAAAACTGTGAATAAATTATACCATTGTATATTAATTAGAATGCTCTTCTTTTGGTTCCTGTTAGATGACGGCTATCTACATTTTCTTTCTTGATAGAATTAATATAGTTAAAATACCTGACAAAAATGTATTTTATGATACCTTTGCTGTCTTGGAATTGAGCAGAAATGTTTGCAAAATTGCCAGTGCATTTTGAAACTTATCTTTACACGCCGATCATGCGCAGGGTTTCCTTTTTAGCAGCTTTATTGAGTTATAATTCACATATGGTACAATGTACACACTTAAAATTTATAATTCAGTGTGTTTTAGTATATTTACAGGGCTACAAAACTATCACCACAATTGAATTTTAGAACATTTTTGTTCCCTTATAAAAGAAACTTTTTCCCCTGTGTATGGCCTTTTTAATTAACTGTTGTTCTCCTGTCTAGCAAGAAGCCTTTATTGTGGTTTCTTTGGATTCCTATTCCTATCAGAGATTTGCCAGCACCTTCTATATAGTCTCACTGTTCTGTTTCCTGTATTTGGTTTTGTGTTCTTTGTACAATTGAGCCTCGTGAAGGGCTGATTGTGTAGGAGCCCAGACCCTGGTAAAAGGCAAGCATGTAGATGTCTGTGTGCTTCCCTGGAAATAGTGAGCACTAAGTGATTTTTCCACATTCTTCATCACAGCAAGTTACAACCAGCATTAGGAGTATGTTGTGACTTTTGATGGAATCCTGTTACATGTCTCATTTGCCAGCTGTTACTTTAGATAGTATCTTAACATAATATTTCTTTTAGATAGTAATGTTATTCCTCTGCTGTACCACCTGGAGCTTTAGAGTTCCCAAAAGGCTAAAAAAGTTACAGCTTCTCATGTCAATACTTCTTTTCAATGTCCTATTATCTTCTTTTTTTTTCTTTTAGAAATGAGGTCTTGCTCTGCGGCCCAGGCTGGAGTGCAGTGGTGCGATCCTAGCTCACTGTTGCCTCCAATTCCTGGGCTCAAGTGATGCTCCCACCTCAGTCTCCTGAGTAGCTGGGACTGCAGGCGTGTGCTAGCATGCCTACCTAATTAAAATAGAATTTATTTTTTTTTAGACACAGGGTCTTGCTATGTTTCCTAGGCTGGTATTACACACATGAGCCGCCATGTCCTGCTTGAGATATTTTATTTTATATTTTAATTGGGCCTAATGAGTTTATACATCCTAAGAAACTTTAAAGAAATATGTGTAGATATATATTTTTAATTAATCCAAAGAAAGAGAAATGGAACTCCACTTTCCCATTTTCCCCATCTAAGCTCTAGTCTCCTTTTTGATTCAATATTACCGTTTATACTAGATAAACTTATGAAACTGGATTTTAAGGCCCTTCAGATTTTGATCTCAGTTGTGCTTCTTTTGGCTTCTTGCTCACATAAATAATCCATTTTATGTAGATGGATCTCACGGGCCCAGAGCATTACGTGGGCTTTCTGCCTTCTGTTTTTTCCTCATGTGTGCTAATGCTTCATGTGGAATAGCCATCTTCTTTTCCTGTCCAGCTCTTCACTTTTCAAGTCTTTGAGGCCCAAGCATTACCTCCATTTAGAGTGATTTTTTTTCCTTTGAAATTACTAAGCATATCCTAGGTATGTTGTTCTCCTATCTAGAGTACATATTCCTCGAGTACACAGCCCCCCATGCTTAGCACTCATCTTTCTGTCCAAGAGGTAGTCAGTAATTGTTTTCTTACTGAGTCATGTGAGTGGAGTTCGTGGCACTAAAATGAATTCAGGTGAAAAAAGATAGCCTAACCTAACCAGTGTTGTAAGTTTTTCTGGTTCTTGTAGGTGTTTTCTTCTCTCTGCTTCAGAGAAACCTTTTAGTTTGTCTTTTCAAAACATTTAATCATTTAATCTGTCACCTTCAAAACATTGTATATGTTCCTCCGGGATATAAAATATGCTTTTTTTGGTAAAAGAGTCATTTTTCCTGAAATGAAAAATAGGAAAAAAATGTACTAAGAAGTGGTAGGGGAAGATGGGGACAAACAGTGTGCTGACATTGGTATTTTCTGTGCGGCTGCACAAATAACTCGGGGATGCAGCATCGTCATGCCATTTCCCTTTATCAGACAATATAGACAGTTTGCAGCTTTATTGGTTTTGGAACATCCGTTTAATCTTCTAACCGTGACAGCCTCTTCAGAGCTTCAGTGCTCATGACATTAAAACCCACACAGTTTCCGAGGCATCATCGTACATGGTGTGGATTTTTTCCTCCAATAAAAAACGAATTACATTGTGTTTCTGACAGATGAATGATGGACCACTCTGCAAATGCAGCGCAAAAGCGAGACGCACAGGAATTAGGCACAGCATTTACCCTGGAGAAGAGGTAACTGGTTTGGGTTATTATGTTTGTAAATGCTGAGAAGCCAGAAGTAGACAGATGTTGTTGCTATTCTTTTCCCCATAAATGAAATAATACCATTGAAATGCTCTTTTCATATTCCCTGATAGTCTCTGTTACTGACAATTGCAGAGGAAAAGTACTTGGGTTTTGGGGGTGGAGTGGGGCGTGTTACCAAGGAAACTCTGAAAAGTTTTGGAAGGTTCATTATTTAAAATAGGCAAGGTGTATTTGATATTTTTTTTGTTATTTAGAGTATTCTAAAACTGCACATATTATAATATTTTTTCATTATAAATGGTTATGAATTGCCTGGAGAAACGCTCTTCCTAAAGTGCCGTGAGGCCACGTCCTCTTTCCCGGGGGTGGGTAAGGCCGCCATGCGCCACCTGCTGGTGCTCCCGTTCACCGCAGCGCTTGGCAGACACTTTGTCTTCCACACCAAACTGAGTTGCGTACCACTGTCTGAACTTTGTGTCCCTAGCCCCTGGCTTGTCCGGGACACTCTAAATAGTTTGACTGAATGGGTAGAACACTTTTACATTGCACAGTCTTATATAACTACTCTTTTGCAATTATTTTCCTTCATTTTTTTCCAACTGTTATCTTTTATTTTTATAAGCTATTTTTATTAATCCCACGATTATCACTTTATGATTTGGTGCATTCTGTTTATACATAGTATATGTAAATCCTTAGTTTCTATTTAAAACTTGTTTGAGGCCATAACAATAATTGAAATAAAAATTATGAGACAGCGGCTGATAATTTCAAATGCTTGCTTAGTTCTCCCTCATTTGTCTTTGAAAGTTGGCTAATGTAGTGAGGAGTTGTGGGTCAGGGTGGCGTGTTGTGAGCGTCTGTGCATGTGTCTCAGGCTGGGAGCACTGGGTGTTGATTAGGGATCAACACCTGTGACGAGAGTGGAGGTGGGCTGGAGTAGATGGAGGGGTCCACCTGTGATATGGGCCTGGTCAAGCCTGGCTTGTCGGAATTTTCTTTTGTTGGGCTGGAATGGCTTTTATACTCCCATCTCCCTTGGTCCTCAGAGCAGAGCGTCTTAGCAAGGGCACAACTTTGGGAGAAGGGACTCTACAGCTGAGGCTGACCCTGAAGGAGCTGGCAGCTGCAGGCTGTGTGCTGACTACATTCCCCACACCTGGGCAGCAGGCCCTTCCTTGAAGGCAGACTGGGTGGGTGGTGTTGCTAGGGACCTGCAGGCAGGAAAGGCAAACCCATACTCAGATTGCATGTTTATTCCTATGAGAACAAACTTCTGGCCCTTTCAAGATGGAAGGGGCCTATGTAATCAACTTGCTACCCAGTAGCAGGTTGGTTTTCACAAGGAAAGGTGTCATTTTGGGCTCTCGGCATGGCTCATTATAGCTGGTCGGCTGGATGTTTGGCAATAGTGGAAATTAGCTTAATTAGCTTTAGCCTTGGTAAGTGGGGTCCATGCTGTTGGGCTCATGTGAAGCCTCTATCTCTGCTACTGTGTCTACTTCATTCATGTGCCCCTCCTGTCACTCTGGGGTGGCTGAGGACAGAGACTGGCTGACACCAACTGCCCCAGCCATTTTGTTTACTTGGTGCGTTAATACCTCTTCCGTGGTGGCTGCTCTCTGATGGAATCTGTGTGTGATACGGAGCTCCTCGTGCTCCCTTCCATTTGTCTACCGACAAGTGTCCACCCTAAGACCTTCTCGTCCCTGATTTTCCAATCTTTTTTCTTCTAGGCCTCTGACCATCTGCCATGGCCACTTGCTTCTGCCCATGAGTCCATCTATTTTCTAACTTCAGGCCACTTCTCTTTCCACACAAAGTGGATGACCAGGTACACTGCCTGAAACACTGCCCATTGGGGAGATTTCCCTTATCGCTGTCTTCCAGAGCCATCGCTGAGTGAGGCTGTGGTGCAGTCCATTGTCAGCTTGCATCCACTTGCCAGCTGACCCATTTGCAAACCAAGCTTGGGCTTTTTTGTCTGCTTTCATCCTTATATCTTTAGTCATCAGCTGAAGGAGGGGTGTTGGTGCCACAATGGTGGAGGTGTGGGGATCTGGATCACCTGCCCAGGCAGCTTGTTTGTGCCTTTGCTCCTCTGTATGCTTGACTGTGGATGTACCACCTCTGTCTTAATGATGGATTGTTGCTGATGCTTTGTTACCTGGTGGGACTGACAGAATTTAGTTTGTGATGGGGGTTCTGGCCACTTGTGTATCTGATACACCTTAATCAGGCCTTCCACATCTACCAGGACCCAGGAGCACATCAGGAGTATTTTCTTTTTCTTCCTTTTTTTTTTTTTTTTTTTGAAGGGGGGGTTTTGTGAGGAGGGGTGCTCAGTTTCCTTGTTTTTTGTTGTTGTTGTTGTTGAGACAGAGTCTCACTCTGTCGCCCTGAGCATAGTGGCATCATTGTAGCTCACTGAAACCTCCAACTCCTAGGCTCTAAGTGATCATTCTGCCTCAGCCTCCCAGGTAGCTGGGACTGCAGGTGCATGCCACAATGCCCTGCTGGTGTTTTTTTTTTTTTTCTAGTAGAAACGGGGTCTCACTCTTGCTCAGGCTAGTCTCGAACTCGTGAGCTCAAGCAATCCTCCTGCCTCAGCCTCCCAGAGTGCTAGGATTACAGGTGTGAGCCACCGTGCCTGGCCAGGAGTATTTTTTCAAAGGCACATAATTCTTCACTATAGTTGGTCTGGCCTTGCTCTGGAACCTCAGGGACCAGCATTGTGATTCTCCCACTGTGGCATGCAACAGACTCCTCTTGGCATCTTTTCCCACCAGTGCAGTAGGATCTGCTGAATTGTATGGCCCCAGCGGCAGGGATGCTTGTATTCCGGCCTGGAAACCTCAAACAGATAAGGTCTTTCTCACTTGGACTACACTCAGTGCTGGTGGCCTTTTGTGCCATTCCGCAAAGGGGCTGAGCAATGTTTCTATAATAGGAGGGGATTGTGCTGCCTCTTGAACTTGAAAAGGCCCACTGGGTGTTATACTCCCTTCTTTATTGTAGGAGGTGGAAGATAAAATAATTGTCATTTACTTTGGAGGGGATGTCTTGGCACTCCGCAGACCACTGGGTTCCTAAAAATTGTGTGGCCACAGTAGGCTCCTGACTCGCAGAGTTTTCCTCTCATCTGTGCAGTGCATGTGCTTCCCCAAGGTCTCCAGCCTGATTAACATAATGGCAAAGGTGTGAAGGAGCGGTGCGATGTTCAGCAATATGTCCAGACAGGAGCTCTTCGGATATGATAGAATTAACATAGCCCTGAGGCAAAACTGTACATGTCTGCGAACCATTCCGATTCTCATTTCTGGTTGGAATAGAAAGGAACACATTCTCCAAATCAGTTACCACATACTTTGTACCTCCTCTAACTAATCCACAACACCTGGCACAGCAGCTGCAATCAGAGCTGCTGCATGGCTTGTCTGCAGTCATCCTCTAGGATCCTTTGGGGGCCAGACAGGTAAATTATTATTATTTTTTTCTTTTTTTTATTCCTATTCACCTTTGTCTCAGAAACAGATAGGTAAATTAAACAGTTATGATAGGTACCATCACCCCTGAGTCCTTCACCATTCCCCAGTGCGATATTGTTTTTGATGCCTGGATTGGGGGTGGTGGAGGTAGTAATTTCAGTGGCTTCTACTTGGTCTTCCCATTATGACAGCTCTTACTCCACAGGTCAGGGGCCCAATGTGAAGTGGCGCATTGGGTCTGCCAAGAAGGTCAATTCCAAGGTCAAGGGAAAATGATCACTGGGTGGATCTGTGGATTTAATAGACCCACTGTAAACCAGACCTGGGCCTCATATTCTCCACTCTAACTGGGGTGTCAGGATGATGCATCCAGTCTGCAAGCATCAGTGATGATCTGGACACTGTGTTCATCACTCCTTGGACTGTCTGGGTATTCCTCTTTCCCCATTGTACAGTTACCCAGGTAAGTGGCCATTAGGCCTCTTTAGGGAAGGACAGAGTTGTCAAGATCATTTTGCATTTATAGTGTCACAGGCCCTTCCTCCTGGGATCTGGCTACCTCTCCAGTCAGTGGATTTCAGTCCAGAAAACTTGATCAGGACTGGAGCTGGGCAAGGGTTAATGTGACTTTATTAGAGTGACCTGCCTTCAGCCTTTACGTTATCCATTCGTGGTTTCTTATCTTAGTACAAACTGAGGGGTGCTCTTGTTGATTATCCGTTTATTTTGTACCCAAGGACACCATGTTCTTCTAACTATTTCTGTGACTATATGTAGGCCAGACCCCCTTAGCTGCCACTTGGACCCTGCTGGTCATAATGAGAATTATGCGACCTGGCTTCTAGCACTTTAGTCCCATCAGTTGGCCTGTCTTGTTTCAGGGTCTGTCATCCTTGTTGCTGTTGGCAAGCTTTGCTCTCTGACCACTTCTCCTGCATTGAACCTGGCCTACAGAGGAGGCCACCACTGATTTTCCTTGTGATGCTGGTGCTGCTCTCACCAGCACATTCCTTTTGGTGTGTCCTCTGGGTCCTCCCCTGGAACGTGATTATCTGGTGTATTTTCCAGCCATAGATACTATATCCATTCTCATGTGTCCACTTCTGTTAGTCATTGAATTCCTCCCTCCACTGTCTGCCATGGGCAATTGTGGTATTTCAGCCTCACTCAGTGTGGGCCATTGCTTTTTCATGCTTTCGGGAGCCATTCTAGTAGGGAGTCCCCAGCATATACTGTTGTCTTTGAATCCTGATTGTTCCCAAGTCAATAAACTCTCCCCTAACCTCTTTTATGTTCTAGCCTCGTTGATTGAGCACTCTCAACATCTGGTCTTCCGCAGACTCCTCTGGCTGCTGGCACAAGCTGGCTAGTTCTTGCAGTTCCTTTGGGATATAATCTTTTTTCTCTCAGCACCTCCTCAGCTGGGTTATGCTGTGAAATAACCCTAATTAAAGACGTATTGGCCAGGAGGGGAGACTAGTCGAGAGGTGGGTATGTGTGTTGGGGAGGGATCGGGGTGAAAAGGCTGGTGTGGGGAGAGAAGATTGTTGTTTTGCAGAGTCTTCTATTGTCTTCTGGCACAAGTTAGTGATCACGCCTAATAGAGAGGGATGCGCCATCTCTGTAGAATCAGAAGATTTAGAGGAATCTCGGAGTCAAAACCTAAATGTCCCTGTCCCAGGTTTCCAGGGCGCTGACCTTAGAATAACAGACCTACCTTGGTTGGCTCTTAATTGTCTTTGAGGTTCAGTCGCTCTCACAGATAAGCCCTGGGCTTGGTCCTGGCTGGTCCTGATCTCTCACTGCAGGGCATGAGAGTTTCTTTGTGGGCCTCTAAGAAGCCCTCTGGTTTTCACATCTGGCTTCCAATTGCCTTTCTTCCTCCCTGCTGTAGAGCAGTGGCTCTCCAAGAGAAGTCTTCCAACTCGTATCAGCTTCACCTGGGAACTTGTGAATTCACCAGGTAGTGCAGATTCTCAGCTCGCCAAAGATACTGCATCAGAAACTGGGGATGGCGAATAAGCATCTGAGATTTAGAAAGTCCTCCAGGTGATTTCTGGGCAGACCATGGTGGAGCATCAGTGGTGCTTAGCAATAGCCATCCCTACGGATGATAGACATTATCCTTTTAGCTACCATTTCCTCCTTAGTCACCTGCTTCCACTGATACAGCCTCCTAATTCACCATCTTTGGAAGTTTAATTTTCCTACCATCTGGTTCTAGGGGCTGTCTCTGCTCCACCTACCGTAGTGATGGGGTCCTCATTGCTAGTTGGGTGGTAAGTGATTTAGTTCCAGAATGCCATCTTATTTCCTGTTTTGTGGGATCACTCCTGGTACCAGTTGCTGCATGTTGGGTTCTCTAGAAGCAGATGCTAAGATGGAGTTTGGGGTATATGATGTTTATTAGGGATCAACACCTGTGAAAGGAAGAGGGTGTGAGAAGATTGGACAGAGGGATTTGTTGAACTATGAGTGAGACCTGACAAAGCCCCAGTCAATCTGGGGGTGATCTGTGGAATGAGTATTGCCTATTTGAGTTGGGCTGAAATAGCTGGGCCTTTATACCTCTGCCTCGCTCAGTACCTGATGTGAGCCATGCCTGAGGGGAGGGAGCTCTGCAGTAGAGAGCGATCCTGAAGGAGCTGACATCTGGAGGCTCTCTGCTGTTGGTGCCCTCCATGGCTGGGCAGCAAGTTCTTTCTTGAAAGGGGGTCTAAGTGGCACATCCCTATGTCTATCACAATGTACCCAGTGATGCCACTGATGCTTTTTTTTTTTGCTTGCTTTCTGTTTTCCTTTTCCCATTTTATACTCCATGCATATTCTGTTCTGCCACCTTTTCAGATCTAGGAAAACCCCTCAGTCACGTTGTCTGAACTCCCTCTATAATATACTTATAAGAGTCATATCGTGTCTATAAGATTAAGGACAGCCGTAGGCTCACTCACGTGCCTTGCAGGGCCAATGCTCCGTGTCAGCAGTGTGATACAACCTAGCCCAGGGATTTCCAGGAGACAAGGTCGCCTAAGCACAGAGGCAGCTTTCATAAACTTGAAACAAAGCTTACCCTTACAAGAGTAGCTTAAACTTCCTCTATGAAAGAAACACCTGGTAACTGACACAGACTGAATAGAGATCAAAGAAAGGTAGAAGGACCCCTCAAACTCTGAGAATGGTCTCTGAATAGAGACTCTCTTGTAGAGTTGGTCCTCTGACTGCCCGACTGTGTCTGGCTTGCTGCTGCTCTCCGCCTTGTAAGAGTGCTGCCAAAATGACTGCTTGAGCATCGGGTGGTGACTGAGAGTTATCTTTGACACACATCAGGGGACTGAAGGGGAGGAGTTGCCCCTGGGGAAGCTGGTTTACTAGGACCACCCAAAGCCCTCAAACACAGTTGGCAGTGAGGATGGGATTTGCGTGAGCATGTGAGTAGTGGCACCCTTGTCTATGGGAGACTCAGGAGAGAGTGACTGGGGACTAGCTCTGATCCAGCAATCAGGCAAAGCCCTGTGGAATGCTCCACAGTGGGTCTGGTGGTTTTTATTCTGCTTTCTGGCCAATTGCTGCCTTCTACATGCATTTTGTCTATGCCTCTATTGCGGAAATTGCCATGGGCAAAACCTGCCAAAATTATTCTTAAGACTGCTCTGGTCCCCCAATAAGGGGGACAGGATCCCAGTAGGAGGATGGTCCGGATGCTAGGGACGGATGCCCCTGGCTGGAAGAGCCAACCACCAGCTGGTATGTCTCTAGCCCCTGCTGTTAGAGAGAAGCACGTCACCCTGAAGGGTCCTGGCATTGTGACACCACAGACCAAGAAGGCTAAGGTAAAGCTTATCTACAGAAAGCTTCCCTGTTTTTGTGTCCCAAGGGGGAATTAGAAGAGTATCCCCCATTAGGCCTCTGGACTAACGGTGCCAGCAAGTCTGCACAGTCACCTAAGGGCGCATCGCTGCCGTTCCCTCCCTCCGTGCACTCCAGTGAGACAGCGCGACTCATCCACGGGTATGCCCCACCCTATGATGCCTACTGGGTGCTGCTGCCAGCAGCCCTCGAGCAGTACACTCCAGTCACACGGGCTCACCTCAGAGTTGTGTCACTCAGCCTGGCTGATCCAGAGTCTGACAAGCTGTGGAATGATGATCCCGAGCGCACTGGGTTACTGCTGGCCACACCACAGGCAGCACCAGTCACCACCCGGCACACAGTGAAGACAGAAGCTGCCACCTCCACAACTGGCTCAGATGAGGAAACACGCCCCAGACACCATGAAAGTCTGCAAAGAGGTTTATCTCTTGGTGCAGACGGGAATTCAAAGCCTACTCAAAGAACCGATGCAGGGACTCAGTGAGAAAGGTGCTGCTGACTGTACCATGTGCACATTACAGGAAGTGATCTGCACCTCACAGGCCAAGAAATAAAACAGCTGGCAGCTATCTCCAGACAGTAAGATTGTTTCATTACCTGAGACCCTGTCAGGCTTATCTGGGAAGCACAGCTCGATGGGCCCCTGGGCACAGAGCAGGTGGACATCAGCTGTCACTGTGCTGCAATGGCTATTCATGGCCTGGGGAACAGCACACCCCAGCATGAGCCTCCTTACATCAAGGGCTAAACACATACAATTCAGGACGGAAGAGAGCTACTGAGGCATTAAAGCATGCTCCAATGGATTTATACCTCCGCCACGGGACAGGAGCACCACTGGGAGAGCCCCCAACAGGCCACTTTGCACCCAGATGCTTTAGCGTCATTCCTAAGGGGAGCCCCACCACAGGCCAAACCAGCTCTCCTGGCCCTGATGGACACAGCCTCCAAAGTTAATCACATTCTGCAGGTCCTTACTGCCCGGGAAAGTGCTGAGGCACAACCACTCAACAAAGTGTTCTCAGCAGAAGCTCACACTTCTGCGCTGCCATCCCCACTTGCTGCCTTGTAGCCAGAGATCTAACACCTGACACCACTCTCCTGGGCCACCCCAGGCCTGTCACCCACTGGACAAGACCCGATCCAGCTATGTGCAACAAAGGAAGAGTGACCTCTACTGGCAGCTTACTCTACAAGGGGCTCCCAAATTGACTCCTCTCTGGCAAGCCTCCTGAGTTCTCCAGACCCTCCTTGGTGCCAATGTGGCCTGTTCCCCACTCACCTGCACGGAAGAGCACCAGATCTTCACCAATGGCAGGCCTCCCATGTATACTAGGGATCTAGAGATAGTCCCCCAGACGGCCCCATGGACGATAATCACCTGTTTACTGAGCTCATCACATTTTGGGGGGCCCAAAAACCCACAGACATTTATGGCCGTATAGGACATCCCCACTTCACCAACGCATGAGGAAACGGTTGAGAACTGGTGACCGGCCAGCCCTTTTTTATCCATCTAGTTAATGGTACAGTGAACACTGTTCTTTGCTGTACTCTGTGAAGGAGCACGTATAAAACCTCTTTTATCAGAAGTAAATCTAGAAAATACAGTCATTTTTAAACAAAAATATTTTGCTGCTTTACTTGTAAACTCATTTTCCTTTTTCCCCTCAGGCCATCAAGCCATGTCGTCCTATGACCAACAATGCTGGCAGACTCTTCCACTATCGGATTACAGTCTCCCCTCCTACAAACTTTTTAGTAAGTTACTAACAAAATCAAATGTCATATAATTTAAAATGTAAATACATTAAAATGTGAACAGACTAAGTTACTGATTCAGTTCTTTTTTTTCACATTGAGTGATTCAGTTCTTAAATGGTTTTTCTTTTAAAAATATTTTATTTTTATGTTGATTAAATTGGCCTCTATCATGATGGCATTTATTTCAGCCTCCTCTCACTATACTACTGTATATTTTTTTCATTTATATTGTTGGTACCACATAATAGTTAAATTCGTAACAGCCAGCGAATTATGGAACTATTCATTGGAGCTATGGAGTGAGAAGAATGCATAGAACACTTCCACATCCCTTAAAAATCAGCAGACAGCTTATTTATTATCTAGTGACCGAAATGAGAAAATCTGTTGTATGTTCATGACAGTAATAATGATACCTAATATTTGTTGAGCATGTACTATGTTCCAGGCACTATTTTAAGTGTTTGACATGTATTAATTTATTTAATTCTCACCACAAACCTATGAAGAGATTTTATCTCCACCATACAGATGGGGCAATAGTCCACATTTTACAGATGAGGTTAAGTAACTCAAGATTACTCAGCTAGTAAGTGGCAGGGTGGTTATTTGAACCCAGGGTGGTTATTTGAACCCAGGAGTCCACTCCTGTGCATATGCCTGTGTGTTATTCTGTTATACTATGTTGCCTTCCACAGTGTGAAATTTGTTAATTCTGGTTACTTCATTCAAGAGATTTCAAAGTTAATTATTTGTAAGTACATATTTTTACAACTTTATTGAGATACAATTCAGATAACATATAGTTCACCCATTTAAATTATATAATTCATGATTTTAGTCTATTTATAGAGTTGTGAAACCATAACCATCATCTAACTTTAGAACATTTGCTTCATCTCGAAAGAAATCCTGTACCCGTTAGTCAATTCTTTCCCACCCCCTAGCCTTAGACAATTACTAAGATACTTTCTGTCTCTATGGAGTTGCCTATTTTAGATATTTCATAGAACGGGATCATACACTATATTGTCTTTTGTGTCTGCCTTCTTTCACTGAGGATAATTCTTTTAGGATTCGTCCATGTTGTAGCATACATCAGTACTTCATTCCTTTTTATGGCCAAATAATATTCTGCTGTATGGATATACCATATTATATATATCCATTCATCAGTTGATAGACATTTGGATTATCTCCACTTTTTGGCTGTTATTAATAATGCTTCTGTGCACATTTGGGTGTAGTTGTTTGTGTGGATGTATGTTTTCATTTCTTAGGTGTATACCTAGGACTGTAACTGCTGGATTGTATGGTAACTCTAATATTTTGAGGAACTGCCAAACTGTTTTCCAAAGTGACTGTACGGTTATTACTCATTATTTCATCAGAAATTCTTTTCATTATGTTTAATTTAGACCAACTTTGCTGAGTTTCTCAAATAGAAAGTAACAGTAATATAGGAAAAGCAAATAATATGTGTTTAGATATTCTGTCATTTCCCCCTCTCCAAGTTGTTCTGTTCTTAAGAGGTGGGGTCTTATTGGAGTATAGTGTCACGATCATAGCTCACTGCAGCCTCAAACTCCTGGGCTCAAGTGATCTTCCTGCCTCAGCCTCCCAAGTAGCTTGGACTACAGATGTCCCTACCACGTCCAGCTAATTTTTAAAATGTTTAAAGAAATGGGGTCTTGCTATGTTGCCCAGGCTGGTCTTGAGCTACTGGCCTCAAGTGATCCTCCTGAATCACTGGGATTACAGGCATAAGCCACCATTTTCTTATATATATAATGTTTAAAAGAATGATATTCAATACCTATCTTAGAAATGTGTCTTTTAGGTTATCAATCTTGATAATTACCTCCGAATTTAATTTAAAATGAAAAATGGTGGGCTATAAGACTGATGTAAGGAAGAGACTCCCTCATGCTTAGATTGACATTTGTACTGTGTGATTACAGAGTCAATTATCAGGTAATTAAGATCTTAGACATCATGTGGGAGTTGGTTTGTTGCAGTGTTTGGTTGGTTGGCTTCTTGGGGAGGCTGGGAATGGAGCTCTGAGGGGCTGAGCAGAGCCTTCCAGGCTATTGCTGGTCTTGACCAGATTGATGCAGAGTCTTTTTTCACTCTGAGTTTGAGTCAACTGTGTTATTATCTTGTTCCTAGTAGGACTTCTGTTAGTTCAGAAATACAGTTCAGTAAGAACAGAACAGGTAGTGTTGTGGGATTAAATAAAACAAGTTCCTAGAAAAATGAAGCTATATATAGCTTTTTTTTCTTTGTTGTTCCCATAATAAACATCATTGATGGTCTCAGTACAAAAATATTATACGTAATATCTGAAGCTAGAGAATTCTACCCAGCAAGAGAATTCCATCTAAAATTACACTTTTGTATGAAGTCCTCCCAGGTGCCTGGGAAAATGTTAACAGAGTCCACAAAATCCCTATGTTTCTCCAATTGTTACTTTGTGTCCTGGTGTATTTCTGCACATGCAAATTGTGCCATTTCTTTAATTTGTGTTTTGTGTTTCTCTTTGCTTTTAGACTGACAGGCCAACTGTGATAGAATACGATGATCATGAGTATATCTTTGAAGGATTTTCTATGTTCGCACATGCTCCCCTGACCAATGTAAGTATGTGGCTGCCTTCCTTTTTCCTTATATCTCCTTCCTTCCCTGCCTTCCCTTCATCCTTTCTTTCTAAAAGTCAAAAATAGATTTTCCTTCATTTGACTCCTAAGTGACATTTAAGGGTCAGATGCGTCCCTCTGTTTGAACTGTGGGAAGTCTGTGGCAGTGTGTGTCAGGTGGCAATGTGACATCTGTGCTAATGAGTCACAGGTTCGGTCAACATTAAATGGTATAAGTAAACGTGTCAGAATAACATTTTGTGAGTGTGAAAGACTGAAAAAGGAGGATAAACTGTGGAGTAACGTGTTAAAGCTATTTTGGGTTGAGTGTCCTTCAAAGGAAAGTTGGAAAGTTTTAAGGAGAAGCTGTTATTTAGTCTCTGAGCAATAGAAAGAGAAATAGAGCTTGTTCAGGACATTTGGAACCTGAAGTATTTACATACAGTTTTCTGCTTTTGAATTTCAGGCGTATGTCTTCTTTAAGAGACTTTGACATGTGGATTCACAGTATTTTTATACAGGTATTAGGGCTACGTTGTTGCTAATCAGTTCAAATGGAAGTTCTGTATCTGTGAGTCAAACTTTTTCCATCTCCACGCTAGCAGTCCTGGCAGGATGTCCTACAACAGCCTCGGAACTGGGTCGAGCGTACTGCTACACATCCTTTCCTGCAGTGTTGCTGGGCAATTCACTCTGCGTTCAGCTGGACGTATACTTGACCCAGACACTGTTGTAGGACTTAATGAATTATAGCTATGATATATCCACATCAAAATAGAATGTTCTTTAATCTTTTCTTGTTTGGTTACATAAAATTACACTTGCAATTTGAAAAGTTATTTTAGTACTGTTGGCTTAACACTTGAAACTGTTCCGTTGGAGAGTAAAGTAAGACTCAAATCTTTGCCTTACCTTGGCCCTTTCTGTCATTCTTTTTGTCTTTATGAGTAGATGTGATTCCATAGTAGCGATGCTAATTTAAAACAAATTGTTTTCCTAATGAGATTTTCTTTATTCCATAGTATACTTTATCATAGAGAATTTGCTTTGAGAAGATGATTACATCGTAAATGTAAAAATAAAATCATTTGATGATGCATATTATATCTACCTCTGGAGTGGACCATCTGTTCACTAATACAGAAAAGGCAGTAATACTGGACCACTCTTAAATAATCTTTATGAAAAGGCAATAGGAGGTTTTTGAATTTTGATGGTTTCTTTGCTTTTTTTTTTTTT